TGGCTCCATTTAGAAGCAAATCTGACTTATGGTGCCTGGGGAAGCAGAGCCCACTCTTTGCTCTGGTTGCTGTTGCAGCCTGGTTTCCTTTTCCTTCAGATGTCAAATTATGAACTAACTAGGCAGGAAGACTTGGAGGAAGCCCTGTGTCCTGTTCCTTTACCCCACAAAGCAGACAGTGTTAGGATGTTATCATTCGGACAGTGGGAAGGAAATAAATAGAAGAAGAACTCCAAACTATACAATTGGCATCAACTCCAAACTATACTATAAGTATAGTTCTTGTTTCATTATCAGAAATCTAAAATTGGAATTCTTGTTTCATTATCAGAAATCTAAAATTGGCTGCACATGATGGTTCACGCCTGTGATCTCAGCACTTTGGGGAGACTGAGGTGGGAGGATCTCTTGAGCCCAGGAGTTTGAGATCAGCTTGGGCAACATAGCAAGACCCTTCTCTATTTTTTCAAAAAAGTAAAAATAGAAATCTAAAATTATCTGGGTAGATTCAAAGGCTGCTACCAATTGTGTGGGAAAATAGTGTAATCATTTTAGAAATGAACATGTAAAATGTGGATCCCAGATTTTGCTGCTAAACCCATTTTCTTTACTTTATAATCTGCTCTCTTATAATAATACTTGTTTCAGTTCATGTCACCCTCATTCTGCTGGTGACTTGGACTTGACACCTTGACATCTTCCATAAGTTTTTCTTCCTCACCCCTTGACCCTAAGTCCTGATGATTTTTCCTTTTTTCTTTCTTTTCTTTTCTTTTTTTTTTTTTTTTTTTGACAGTCTCACTCTGTTACGCAGGCTTGAGTGCAATGACATGGTCTTGGCTCACTGTAACTTCCATCTTCCTGGTTCAAGTAATTCTCCTGTCTCAGCCTCCTGAGTACTACAACCTCTGCCTACCGGATTCAAGTGATTCTCCTGCCTTAGTCTCCCTAGTAGTTGGGATTACAGGCTCACACCACCACACCCAGCTGAATTTTATATTTTTAGTACAGACAGGGTTTTGGCCAGGCTTGTCTTGAACTCCTGAGTTCAAGACATCTACCTACATTGGCCTTCCAAAGTGCTGGGATTACAGGCGTGAGCCACCCCACCAGCCCTGAGTTTTCTTCCTCTCACATCCATCCCTTTTTCTCAATTCAATGTAGCTAATTCAATGTAGCCACCCTGGTTCAGGCCACCTGTACCATTGAAATTCAACACCTGTTGCTTTCTGCTATCATTTTCATTTATTCGATGAAAAATTCTTGAGGGCCCATTGTGTGTCTGGCTCTATGCTGGGGATTCAGCTGGAAAACACAATTTCAATTTTCTTGTCTTTGGAAATTTAGATTTTTTTTTTTTTGAGACGGAGTTTCGCTCTTGTTACCCAGGCTGGAGTGCAATGGCACGATCTCGGCTCACCGCAACCTCCACCTCCTGGGTTCAGGCAATTCTCCTGCCTCAGCCTCCTGAGTAGCTGGGATTATAGGCACGCGCCACCATGCCCGGCTAATTTTTTGTATTTTCAGTAGAGACGGGGTTTCACCATGTTGACCAGAATGGTCTCGATCTCTTGACCTCGTGATCCACCCGCCTCGGCCTCCCAAAGTGCTGGGATTACAGGCTTGAGCCACCGCGCCCGGCCCGGAAATTTAGATTTTAATGAGGGAAACAAGTCTACCACCAAGTACAGTGTAGTGAGCTGGATTCAGAAGAGACACCAAAATCTCTCTTTGTTTCATGGAATTGTGTTTTGATCCATGTAGTTTTAATATTTAAAGCTTCTTTTTCTTGTTTTCAAATATTCGCTTTTGTGCTTTAATCCCTCTTCTATCCTGAATGGATGTGGCAATAACTAGTTATTATATTCTTTTATTTTACTAAAACATAAGATAAGTTTCCAGACAAGCCATACAAAATGGTCACACGCTTTTTGTGAAGCAGGTAATCTACACTTGACAGCACAGTCACAGTGTTATTAGTGAGGGCTATGATGTTTGTTTAATGTTCCCATTTTGGTTCAAACAATCAAGCTTGTCCATCTACAGCATCTAAATAAGATTAGACTTGGCTAGAGAGGATATTCCAAATAACTGGTTAGCTGCTTTTAACCAGTGATGCGATTAGATCACCATAAATAGGGGAAAAGGAGACCATAAAATTAAAACTAACTCCCCCCTCAAAAAAATAAAGAAAAACACCCACACCCCTGCAGCTAACCTGACAACTACCTTCATTCACAGTGCTTTATACTTAAACCAGGATGGGGGAAATGAGTAAAAGCAGGGAGGGGCCGCTGCTTTTAAATGTTTCACAACAATCCAGATGATACTTCTAGCCTCTGCTCATGCTTTACGACAGTGAATCTGGACAAGACATAGATTTGCCGTTGTGCATTTAATCACCAAAGGACTGAAGATATCTGGGCTTTTTTATTCGGTAGTGTTTCTAAGACTGTGTCCATTAAATGCAAACAGAAAGGAAGAAGTCTTGGCACAACAGAAGAAGTGATGCACACTTGATGATCGGATCAGTTTAAATATTATTCATGGCATATAGCCTAGTCCATGCTCTGCTGTTTCTGTGGCTTGGGCTTTGTTGGTCTTCCACTGCCCCACTACATCATTTGCTAATGGATCATCTGGATTAGGAGCACTTAACAAGGCCTGGATCGATAGCAGAACTATGCAGATCTGCAGTGCTGGGAACCACATATCTTTCAGAATATCTAAACATATTCTTCCCAACTTGTCTACATTAGGATGGTAAATTTTGGTCATGAACTGTGCTTTAGGGGCTGCCATCGGCTATTCTTCTGGAAGGAATAGTTGAAGTTTAAAATTCCCTCCCTCAAAGAGGGAATCCTGAGGGCCAGCAGTGACCACATGAAAATAACGAGTGTTGCTCTCATCTGGTTCTGCTCTGATGCCGGAAACTAGTTCTGCCAGCAAACACTGGGTTTCCTTGATGATCCTTCGGGGCAGCCCAGCCATCTTGTCAGAACCCAAGTTCAGCCTCTGGTCTCGTTTCCCTACTGTGTTCTTAATAATAGCCGTCCAGATGATGTTGACCAGGAAACACCTTTCAGCTCTCTCTCCAGATAAAATAAATCTAATTTCTTCACAGGTGCACAGCCAGCCCTATTACTAACTATCTGAATCTATTTAGGATCTAAAACAGTACCCAGATGGGCTGGTTCAAAAAGCCTTTTAGAGCAGAGTTTTTCACACATAGACTGGGATTTTTGTTGCACCACGGATCCTGATGCAGTGAGTTGGTTGGGGCCTGAGCGTATTTATTTCTGAGGAGCTTCCAGGTGATGCTGCTGCCACTTGGAAATTGAACATGTGTTGTGTTAACAGGGTTTTAGAAGATGTAAAGAGATAAGGAATTAAGATAAAAAGAAGTGGGGGTACATTTTCTTCCAGCTATATGGGTATAGATCCTGTAGTCTGTCCATCCTGTTAACTCTCATTTGCTCTTGTTAATCTCAGTCAACAATTAACTACCCAGCGGGGTTGGCTCTTATCCCTGCACCCAGAGACAGTGAATCCTGCCAATGATCTAACCAGAAAGTGTCTACCCTCTATCCACCCCTTAGCCCCGGGGAGTGAGTCTCCTGCATGTCTTTGGGAGCTATGATAAGGTGTGCACTCACCTAACGAGGCTGTGATATGACTCCCAGAGGCCCCTGGCCACTGAGTAATGGGAAACCCTGTCTTGGCAATGAGAGGTGTTCCTTTTGGCACTCTACCTCCATCCAGCCAACTGGTTTATGTAACAGTTGGGCTCTGGGAATGGGTTCTGAGGTAAGTCTGTATCCTACTGTGTGTATTCAGGAACTGGCAGAAAATTTATTTTTAGCTTTTAAGATTCCCGTTAGAGATTCTCATAACTTGTAACCTTGACGGTTGAGTGAACTGCCTGTGACCTGCTGAAAGAGCCTGCCAGAGTGGAATGCAACTGTCTCCTTATTCTGCTTGAGTGTTTTTCCTGGTGATTGTCTGTGGATCGTTTACTGGCTCCACCCATGCGCTTCTATTCTGCAGATATTATTGTAGACTGAAGACAGAAAAGCAGTTGCTACAGGCAGTTGGCTCTTGAGTCTTTACAGCCAATACTAGGAGGAATTTTTTTCATCTCTTCCTAGGGGACTTTCCTATGGAATTCCTCCTACAGATTGGATTGCAACAATGTCTTTTAGATTCATGAGATCTATGTTAAAACAAACAGAGGAACCTTGATGATATCAGGCTGGTGAGAAGGAGTTGGTAAATGGCCCAGTTCTGTGGTTGTCCAAGTTCAGCCTGTTTCAGAATCACCTGGAAAGCATTAAACCTGCTTGCTTGTTATTTGCTAGGCCTTGTGCCCGAGGTAGTTGTAATTGTTGGGCAAATTGCTGGGTCCTGTGTCCCTTGTAGTTCTAATTCAGCGGATCTTGAGCATAGTCTGAGAATTGGTAACATTTCCTCTTCCTCCTCATCTCTTGTGAACAGAACAGTGATAACCAGAGAGCAGTCTACATGTTCACAATTGCACCTGCACTGTTGATTGTAGTCACCATCATTATCCCCTAGTCGTCATAGGTTTGTTACTTGTTTTTTGTTATTGTTCTAAACACCAAGGTCCAAGGAAACAGCAACTCTTCTGGTATACCTATGCAGCCCTTTATGGTAATCCAGCCCACTTTCTGTAAGGCTTCTTAGTTTATTCTAGGAGTAGAGACCTGATCTTCTATGGGAGGGATATATAAAAGCATAGAATGGGAGCAACTGAGAAACTTACTTCTCACCCACCTTCTTATTAAAAATTCAAAAAATCAATTTGAGTTTATGGCAACTGAGACAGGGTAAAGGAAGGAAAAGTTGGCTGATCTGGGTCTTTTCGTTCCTCTAACCCCTTAGCTATACCTTGTTTGCATTATGAAGATAAGATGTTGATTTGTTTTGCTAGCACTCCTTATTATTGAAGGTGACTAATACCTGCTTTCTATTGAATGCAGTTCAGGAGCATCCCAGGAGGAACAAAATGATCTTGGTCTTGGTGACCTTCCCTCTGATGAGGAGGAAGTCATCAACAGTTCTGATGAAGATGATGTCAGCTCTGAGTCAAGTAAAGGAGAGCCTGACCCACTGGAAGATAAACAGGTATATTTTGGTATTTGATTGCTTCCATTTTGTGTGTGTTGACTGCTCCCTATGCTTGGGAATGATATTTGTCCTCATGATAGGCACATAAACCCTTTTGAGTTTTCTTGAAACTTATTAAACACTTTCAGAATTTAAATTTAATTCCTGCTGTAATGTGGCACCTAAAATATTCTTGTGTTTCCAAGTATATATCAACTAGAGATTACTTAGTGCTTTTTAAGAAATTATTATTATTATTTTGAGACAGAGTCTCGCTCTGTTGCCCAGGCTGGAGTACAATGCATGATCTCAACTCACTGCAATCTTTGTCTCCTGGGTTCAAGCCATCCTCCTGCCTCAGTATCCTGAGTAGCTTGCATTACATACACCTGCCACCACACCCGGCTAATTTTTGTGTCTTTAGTAGAGACAGGGTTTCACTATGTTGGCCAGGCTGGTTTCAAACTCCTTTCCTCAAGTGATTCACCTGCCTCAGCCTCCCAAAGTGCTGGGATTACAGGTGTGAGCCATGGGGCCCAGCAAAGAAATTCTTTTTCCTAATGTCCACTGATTTTCTTTTTGATAACAAAACCCCTCTTGGGATTGTTCCCTGTACTGCTGAAATAAAGGAATTGTGTGTATTTTACCATCAAATCTTTTTGGGAAAGAATAAAGATGGCTGTTCATGGTACATCATCATTTGCTTTGAAACAATCCAGTGTGTGTATGTGTTTTGGGGGAGCACAGCATACATGAAGATTGGCCATGTGTTCATAGTTGTTTAAGATGTGTGATGAGGGGGTTCATTATCATGCCACTTTACTTTGCATGAATGTATTTATCTATTTCATTTGAAACCATGTGTTAAAAGACGTTATGAGCACAGCATACATAAAGATTGGCCATGTGTTCATAGTTGTTTAAGATGGGTGATAAGGGGGTTCATTATAATGTCACTTTAGTTCGCATGAATATATTTAGCTATTTCATTTGAAACCATGTATGTTTTAAAAGACATTATAAAGGGAAAAAGTTAGCTGGGTGCAATGTCTCACACCTGTAATCCCAGCACTTTGGGAGGCTGAAGTGGGCAGATCATGAGGTCAGGAGTTCGAGACCAGTCTGCCCAACATAGGGAAAGCCCATCTCTACTAAAAATACAAAAAATTAGCCGAGTGTGGTGGTGCATACCCTTAATCCCAGCTACTCGGGAGACCAAGGCAGGGGAATCACATGAACCTGGGAGGTGGAGGTTGCAGTGAACCAAGATCACCATTGTACTCCAGCTGGGCTGACAGTGCAAGACTCTGTCTCAAGAAAATAAAAAATAAAATAAAAATAAAGGGAGAAAGTTAGTACATCAACAACATCCCCAGGAATGTTACAGCAAGATGGAATTTGAAAAGATCCACACAGCATAGCAAGCTATGGAGAAAATTTATGTCACCTAATTCCTGTGCCATAATTTTATCAACCCATTATCCTTCCTGTTTAATATTTTTGCTCTGTTTAGATTTATTTTCAGCCTTAAATGAATAGCACAAGTTCAGCAGTCTGAATTTAAGTCCCAGATCTACCAGCTATGATCTGGGCAACTTTGGGCCAAGTATTTATCCTTTTGGGGCTAAAGGGTACCATATTCTAGATTTAAAAGAAGGATAACACTCATAGAATTATGAAGATTAAATAATTTGATACATGGAAAGCCTTAGAATGCTTATCAGTACATAATAGCTCAGTGATCATTTATTTATAACTAGCAAGACTTCATTTTTGTGCTGTACAGTATTAAATAATTGTGTTGGGAATAACCACTAGAAATTACTTAAGCTAGTGAATTTGTAAAACTACTAAGACAGATGAGTGACTCTGTTCTTAAAGACCCACAACACTCAGCCAGTTTTGGGTTTTACTTTGACTGTCAAGTAACTCCTTTTGTGTCTTACTTGGTGTCTGTCTTGCTTTAATTTGAAAGCTCATTTTCCATGTTGCAACTTCATGGACATAGATTCTACAAATGTTTATAGAATTCCCAGTATGTGCCAGGTACCACTGGTATTTACTAGAGATAAGCAGTACTCAGATTCCAAGCTTCTATGTAGCCCATGTTCTAACAGGATAAGAGGAACCTACATTCATAATCATAGTCAGGAAGAACTTCAGAGTGTTACAAGCTATTAAGAGAACAAATCAGAGTGATGTGCTACAAACCCAGGAGGCTACCTTGGGAAAAAGCCTCTTAGAAAGTAATATTTGGGCCGGGCGCGGTGGCTCAAGCCTGTAATCCCAGCACTTTGGGAGGCCAAGGCGGGTGGATCACAAGGTAAAGAGATCGAGACCTGTAAAGAGACCAGACCCCATCCTGGTCAACATGGTGAAACCCTGTCTCTACTAAAAATACAAAAAATTAGCTGGGCATGGTGGCACATGCCTGTAATCCCAGCTACTCAGGAGGCTGAGGCAGGAGAATCGCCTGAACCCAGGAGGTGGAGGTTGCAGTGAGCCGAGATCGTGCCATTGCACTCCAGCCTGGGTAACAAGAGTGAAACTCTGTCTCAAAAAAAAAAAAAAGAAAGTGATATTTGACTGGGATTTAAATGACTGGAAAGAACCAAAGCCTGTGAAAAATTTGAGGAAGAGCATTGAAATTGTCTTCTTGGGCTGGGCACGGTGGCTCACGCTGGTAATCCCAGCACTTTGGGAGGCCGAGGCGGGCGGATCATGAGGTCAAGAGATCGAGACCATCCTGGTCAACATGGTGAAACCCCATCTCTACTAAAAACACAAAAAATTAGCCGGGCATGGTGGTGCGTGTCTGTAATCCCAGCTACTCAGGAGGCTGAGGCAGGAGAATTGCCTGAACCCAGGAGACGGAGGTTGCAGTGAGCCAAGATCGCACCATTGCATTCCAGCCTGGGTAACAAGAGCAAAACTTCGTCTCAGGAAAAAAAAAAAAAAAAAAAAGAAAGAAAGAAATTGTCTTCTTAAGGGCCATAATTAAATCAGTCTTGATTCTCTTTGGAAAGCAGCTCCAAGTGTTTTCTTTTCCTAGCAGATACTGTTTTCTATTGTTTTGGTCTAGTTATTTCTTTTGCGTGAAACTTTTCCAATTTCTTTCCATACTTCTTGGAGCACTGACCAAAATTGGTTTCCAAATTCTATCAGGGATCTCACTGATACATCACATAAAGGAAGGATTAATCTTTAGCCTGGCAGTGTTACCTCTCTTTCCAACACATCCTGTGATAACACTGCCTGGTTGACTCATTCATTCTGTGGTCAGTGGAGACTCCCAGGGTTCCTTCCTCTGCGTTTGTGCCTGCCTTTCCATTCCTTTCCTGTATTTATATTATCGTTTTATGTTATTAGTTGTGTTACATTGCAGCAGCCCTGTTAAATATTTATCTTTTTTAAAAAAATAGGACTATTTTTTTAATCATGGACATTGTTTTTAGTGAAACAGAGTACATTTTTTTTCATCATCTCAAGCTTTTTTTTTTTGAGACGGAGTTTCGCTCTTGTTACCCAGGCTGGAGTGCAATGGCACGATCTTGGCTCACCGCAACCTACGCCTCCCGGGTTCAGGCAATTCTTCTGCCTCAGCCTTCTGAGTAACTGAGATTACAGGCACATGCCACCATGCCCAGCTAATTTTTTTGTATTTTTTAGTAGAGATGGGGTTTCACCATGTTGACCAGGATGGTCTCGATCTCTTGACCTCATGATCCACCTGCCTCGGCCTCCCAAAGTGCCGGGATTACAGCCTTGAGCCACCGCGCTCGGCCATCATCTCAAGCATTTACCGAGCCTGTATGTAATTGTGTTACAGGCATTCCCATTATACTGTTAGTTATTTTAAAATGTACAATAAATTATTGACTGTAAAAATAACTCTGTTGTGCTATCAAATCCTAGATCTTATTTTATCTAACTGTGTTTTTGTACCCATTAAATATTTCCAGTACCCTCCACCCCCAATCATGGACATTTAACATTTTTTGCCTGATGCCACTAGTACTAATAATTTCCCTCCTATAGAATTCTCTGCCACTCTAACGAACTTTCTCTGTCTCTTCATCTGAGACAGTAATAACATTAATAGAATAGACTGGCCGGGCACAGTGCCTCAAGCCTGTAATCCCAGCACTTTGGGAGGCCAAGGCGGGTGGATCACAAGGTCAAGAGATTGAGACCATCCTGGTCAACATGGTGAAACCCCGTCTCTACTAAAAATACAAAAAATTAGCTGGGCATGGTGGCACATGCCTGTAATCCCAGCTACTCAGGAGGCTGAGGCAGGAGAATTGCCTGAACCCAGGAGGCGGAGGTTGCGGTGAGCCAAGATCGTGCCATTGCACTCCAGCCTGGGTAACAAGAGTGAAACTCCGTCTCAAAAAAAAAAAGAATAGACTAACTTTCTCTTAAGTAATTTTTTTTTGTAGTGGTAAGAACACAGTCTTTGGAGTCAGATTGCCTGGGTTCCCACCACTTACTAGCTCTGTGATCTTGAACAACATACTTAATTTTACTTGGTCTTAGTTTACCCATTTGTGAAAAGAGGAGAAAAAAAGTAGACACTTGACCTTGTTTTCTAAGATTGTTATGATGATTAAATGATTATACACTGTTTAGAACAGGGTGTGGCACAAAGTGAATGCTTAATAGATTTTTAGCTATTACTGACTTTTAAAATTTTTTATTTTATTTATTTATTTATTTTTGAGATTGAGTTCCTGTCTTGTCTCCCAGGCTGGAGGGCAGTGGCACGATCGCGACTCACCACAACCTCCGCTTCCCAGGTTCAAGTGATTCTCCTGCCTCAGCCTCCCTAGTAGCTGGGATTACAGGCATGTGCCACCAGGCCAAGCTAATTTTGTATTTTTAGTAGATACAAGGTTTCTCCATGTTGGTCAGGGCTGGTCTCGAACTCCTGACCTCAGGCGATTTGCCCACCTCAGCCTCCCAAAGTGCTGGAATTACAGGCATGAGCCACCATAGCCTGCTGCCATTATTGATTT